TGGGCCCACTGCAAAGGAGAGGCGGGGTGATAACACCGGTGGAGCGGAGAGATTAGCAGGAACCAGGGGGGTATACTAGAGCCATGAAGTCAATTTTCTCACTGCTACCGCCTGGATAGAAATGCCACTGCTGCTTCCCAGGCGCGGCTGACGGTGAGTTACTCCGGGGTAGCTGTGTGTCTGCTCCGGGTCCCCCCGGGGCAAGTGTCCCAGGTCCAAGCCGACACGCCCGGCTCCGGCGCCGTGCCCCCTCTCTTGCCGCGCTCTGCTCTGTCTCCCCGCTCCAGCGCTGCCCCTCTCTTCTCTCTTCTCTCTCCAGATTGCTTTTCTGCTGCTGGTTCCCTTGGATGCTGCGGGCAGAGATGCAGTCGTAAAACCCCGGCCCCGTGCCCCCCCGTGCCCCGAGTAACCCAGAGACGGCTCCTCTGTCCCGGTCTCATCTCTCTCTCTGTCTCTCTCTGTCTCTCACTCCCTCCCTTCCCTCGATACGGACCCAGCAAACCCCTGCCCAGTGCCTTCGTACCACTGCTTGTGGCCCCCCGCCTGCCCGCCCCCCCACATCCGTGAGGGGCCACAAGTCGCCGCCCCTCTCCCCACGGGATAAAAATGACTTCGCTCCTCATTTTGCTTTGCCCCCCTCCCAGCCTCCTCCGGGCACGGCGTGGGGATGGGAGCTGATGGGTTGGACTTCAGTCTTGGGTGAAACCCGTCTTGGGCTGGGGGTCTTGAGGGGGCTGCCAGGCAAAGCCTGGCCTGTAGGCAATGCGGGTGGACCAGAAGCATCGTGCTGCACTGCTCCGAGTCAGCAACGGAGCGCTTCTCCCCAGCACCAGCCGCCTTTCGGCTCGGGAGTCATAGTCGTCGCCTTCCGGGGTCTGTGCTGCGAAGCCGTTATAGGGCAGGGACGGAGTTGGGTTTGAACAGAAGCAGGTTTTGTGATAGGCCTTCAGAGCAGGGAGTTTGGCCAGGAGCTTTCCGAAGGAGTGCAGGTTTCCTTTCTAAGGGAAAAAAACCCAACCGCCCCCGTTCACTCTGAAACCTACTGACGTACACTTACTGTAGGTGGGGGATGCCGTTTGCAAACGGGGCTTGGAGAGAATTTGGAGAGCAAGGGCTTCTAAAAGAGCAGGTCGCCCGATGTCCCTTACCCCCTCCTCTCCCCTCTAGTGGGTGCCTTTCCCACGATGTGGTTTTAGGGAAAATACTTTGATTTTTTTTTTCCTTTCCAAGCTATCTAGGGAAAAAACCCTCTATTTTTAAAAGAAAAAAAACCGACCCTTAATAATTATTTTAAGAGAAGAAAAAAACATGGTGTGTGGGGGGTGGAAGTCTCTTTCAGAGACAAACAAAAGTTGGTCCAGTTGACTTTGTCTGGTTTGGTTCAGTGACCTCCTCCCCATCTGGACGCGGTTAAACCAGGACAAAGCGGCTCGGTCCAGATGTGGACAAGCCTGTTGTTGTTCCCGCCCCGCCGCGGTGTGTTGTTCACTGGAGGAACTCCTTGCTACAGGACGCTGGGAGACGAGGCCGAAGGGGGTCGGAGCTGTTTTGAGAGGAAAGCTCCATCCGTAGGTTTAGAAGAGGGCTGACGTAGGCGGCAGCCTCCGCATCCGAACGTCCGACACCTCCGAACACAACCGGAGAGAAGCAGGGGTGGGACGATGTCGCCCGTACCCTCTTAATGGCGCGAGGCCGGGCGGGCTGACGTCGTCGGTGGCGTTTCCAGGGCCTGGGGACGGACGAATGTCAGAGGGGCCGATGCAGGGTTGTCCCGCGATCGATGCCCGGCTGGAAAGGAGGCGAGGTCTCCAGAGGAAAGATGCGGGGAGGGGTCTGCCCAGGTGCTTGGGATCGTGCAAAGCCCAGGGGATGCAGATGGGCTGCGTCACCTGCGGGTTCAATTGCAGCGGGACAGAGATGTAGGTTAGATACCGCCGGAGCTCAGCCCAGAGCGGGGATCACGTAGCAGGGAAGCCGGGCATTGTCCGGCCGCGGATGTTTCCAAGTGTTGTTGCAGCCGGAGCTGGTGCTGGCGGGGGCAAGGGACGGGGGGCGGACTGGACGACCCCCCCCGACCCACTTTTCTACCCCGTCCCCCAGCTCTGGCCTTGTTTGTGCTGCAAAGTATTGCAATATCGGTGACGGGGCCTGGAAAATACCCGCCCGCCCCGCGTGCATCAGCGCGAGAGGCCGCCTGGGAGTGCCGTTTGGCGACGGCACCGGTTTGCGGGTGGGGGCTGCCTCTCCGCGCGGCACCGCAGCGGGAGTTGCAGCTGTGCCATGTAGACAGACTCCACGCCTCGAGGAAGTCAGGGCGAGGTTGCTAGTGGCGTTTTGGTGCCTGGCCGTGCGAGGTTGGGGTTCACCGGAGAAACGCGCGGGCGTTCACTCTGAAACCTACTGAGCACCGTCCCTGCAAAGAGGACACAGGGCGCAGAGGCAATGAGGGCTCCTGCCTCTCTTGGGAAGACACTAGACCTTGGTCCGCAGGCGAGAGTGCTGACCAGCTCAGGTGCGTTCCCAGGCGGGTAGCGCTGTGGGGGATCCCGGGGCACTTCCTAGCACGTGTGGGAGAGGAGACGCCTGGGACGGCTGTGAGACCCTTTGCACTCGCACCCACGCGGGGCGGGGGTTGTCCGGCTCTCCCTGCTCCGGCAGGGTTGAAGGATGTTGAGGGGGGCCGTGAAGATCGGTGGCGCCTGGTCCTGAGACGGCAGCTGTGGTTTCTGGCCAAGTCCTTCCAGGCGGCGTTGGCGGCAGCCTCCAGATTGGTGTAGGGAGGTGGGCGGGGAGCGGGGGCGGGTTGGCGGCCTAAGGGAGCGCGTGGTTGTCCGAGGAGGCTGGGAAGAGATGAGAGAATCTGTCCTGCTGGCCTTCGAGCCACATGTCCTGCTTCCCGTCTGTCTGTCTAGCCATCGGTATCCCTCTCTCCATCCATCCATCCACGGGCGCAAGGACCCTGCGAGGGCCCTTCCGACCCTACTTTCCTATCACCCATCCATCCCTCCATCCATCTGGACGGGTCTGGGGTTTCATCTGCCTGTCCGCCCATCCACCTGTCCGCATAAGCATCCTGCCCATGGGCTAGAAGACCTCACGAGGGCCCTCGCAGCCCTACTTTGCTATGATCCATGCATCTGTACGGCGCTATGGAGATCCCTCCCCCTAGCCATCCATCTGTGTGCCCACTTCTCCATCCCTCCCTCCTGATCTGTGGAGGCCCATCCATCCATCCATCCATCTTGATCTATGGACATCCATCCATCCATCTGCATTGATTTATGGACATCCCTCCCTCCTGGGCTATGGACATCCATCCATCCATCCACCTATACAGGTCGATGGAGATCCACCCGTCCCCCTGCCCACCTCGCCATCCATCCTTCCATCCCTCCCTCCATCCCTGCTCCACCGCTTTCCCTCCATGTGTGATCCCGTCTCTGTCCCTGCCTCCTCCTCCTCACATCATCGCTCTTCCCATCACGTCTGAGGGGGGCTGGTGGCAGAGGCGTCGCGTTCTCGTCTCTTCCCTGCGCCCCGGAGGCCACGATGGCTTTGGAGGCCATTTTCTGTTCCAGGCTGGGCCCAGCCTGGATCCGGCTTTGCTCTGAGTTGGAGCTTATCAAAACAGAAGTGGCTTCCTGAGATCCATGGAAAGCTCGTGGCTTTGGCTCGGGCTTGTCTGGCTAGCGGCATGGGGGCTGAGCCACGCTTAGGTCTTGGGTTTGGCGGGGCGTAGCGCAGCGTGGGGAAGGGCTAGCACGAACCGGGGCTCTCAAGATCCCACCCTGCTCTCGCTGAGCTTAGGTAGAAGGTAGAAAGGCTGGTGCGGGGGTTGTCGGGCGCCCCACCGCTGCCACCGATGTGCTGTGTGGCCTCGGTCAAGTCACTTTGTCGCGGTGCCTCAGTTCCCCCCCCCCCCCCGGTACAACAGGGTGTAGGGGGCTGTTCTGGAGCCCAAGGGGTCCCAGCACTAGGTTTTCCCCAGCCCTTCCTAGGGGCACAGAGAGCGATGCTGGGGGTGAAACGGACTGGGGTGGGGCGGGCGGGGGCACATCCCTGCCCTGTCCAGCTCTTCCTCTCTGTCTCCCGTGATCGCACCGCCTCCCTCCACCCCTCCCCGTCCCTGCCCCGCGGTGGGGAAGCCCCCCCAAGCCCTTGCCCTGCTTGGTTGTTTTTCACTAGCAATAAAACCCTGCCATGGATCTGGTCGCCCCGGGAAAGGGGAAGGGGAAGGGAAAGGGAAAGGGGGGCATCTTGGTTCTTCCCCATTATCACCCTCCAGCACCCCCCTGCCCTCGCCGGCCCGCGTTTCCGGGCGGGGGGCAGCACTGCAACGCTAACCCCGCGGCCGGCCCCGGGGGCCGGGGACC